GATGCCATTAAGTAAAACACACTACATGGCAATTATCAAATAACATCAAACAGATTGTTCATACCTCTGTATTTCAGTTTTGTGATCCAGGTGACTTCCTGTTCTATCTTTTTTAACTAGGGATGTAGTGAAGCCTAAATTCTGCATTCAAGAAAAAAAAAAGAAAGAAAATATGCCAGTCATATTGCATTTGATTTACTTTTATTTCCAGGTTTAACATTAAATTGTGAATGGTGTTTATGAGGTGTTTAGTTTAGAGTCTAGATGCACAATGCAGTCATGATTGGGGGGTGGGGGGGAAAGGCACATTGAACTTTGTTGTTTTAGCTTCATTTGCACATCTCTGTTGTCAGCTAATTCTAACACACAATTTATATTTAATGTCTACAGCCCAAGATGTGGAAATTCTTGCAAATTACACAAACAAGAGCAAAACATTATAAAGATAGTACAGATTTCAAATATTCATTAAGAGGAATGGAGTTCAAGCAATTTAGGATTTGTTTAACAAATTTAAGGAAAAAAGGTTCAATTTGTTTTCCTATAATGTCCATAAAAGTGTGACCTTGATGAAGCAATTCATACATTGAATACTCACATCTATAATTTTCATGACGTCTCTTGGTCCGATCACCTCCGGGTCATACTTAATGTGAGCTTTGTTTGTCGCGAGTGCAACTGAACTGTAAAGAACACCTTTAGTTTTCATCAAGCATGACTCTATTTTATGCACACATGAAGCACATGTCATTCCCCTTACCTATCAAGAGAGGAAAAATACACAAACAAAACATGGAAAGAAATGAAGAGTAATTTGGTGATTATACACAAAGCTGGGAAATGTGGTAAATTGCACACCAAAAACTCTCGCAAATTTTATGCTATAAGGAAAAACTGTGTACTATAACCAGGAATAAAATTATATACACCACAGCTGAATTTTCACTAACAAACAGTTAGTGGATAGTGAAAATTTTCAGCACTCAAAAAAAAAACACATCCAAAATGTTAAACTGGTACAAAACTATTTAGCAGACTAGTAGCCCCAGCGTGACAATATAGTACAGGGGTACTATAGTACAGGGCCTTCGGGACTCCACGTGTTTTGGGCTGCATTTCCCTTGATGCTTTGCCAGCATTATGGGAGATGTAGTCCAAAATATCTTGAGTGC